TCGAGCGTTTAGAGACTAAGGTCTGCCCATGCTGACCAGTGTGACCTGCGGTATGACTTGCTTTATTGACTTGTCCAGGGTAGTCGCTTTGAATTCCACAGAGTTGCTGACAGAGTAAGAATTATAAAGTTTCTATATGTGCACAATTCCGCCATCAAGCGGGCGCTCCTGTCTCAATAAGTCCCAAAACTGTGGTAGTGTCTTTGACTACGGAAGTGGGACACATGTGTACCACCAGTAGTCAAAGATTAACTTATGCAGGGTGCTCCATTGTTGATCAGCCGCTCGTACAGCTTCCTACAATGAACTTATTACGCGACAGTTGGAGCATTCCACCACGCCCCCTTCTCTTCGAGATGAGAACGATAACACTTGCTCTCCAGCCATCCGGCGTCCTTCCTTCCGCATAATACCATGTTCGAAAAGCGGTGAGCCACCTTATACCCGTGCTCTCTAAGCCCTTCCATGCCTCTATTGGTACTCCATCTGGACCAACTGCCTTTCCAACCTTCATCTTCCCAAGTGCACACCTAACCTCATCCTCTGTCCAGAGTGCGATGGGACCAGCTGTGGCCTCTGCCCGTGAGTTGTTCTTGTGGGGAACTCCTCGTTCAGAAGCCCTCTGAAGTACTCTTCCCACCTCCTCTTGACTTGGGCTGGCTTTCTCAGGATGACACCGTTGCTGCTCTTCACGCTCTTCACCACCCTGATGTCTTGGTAGCCCGATGCCGGGCTTAGGCCAGTCTGAAGACGAACTTCTCTGCATTTCGGTTTCCAACTTCCTTAGCGGTGACAGCCTTCGCCAACCTTTCGCAGGAAATGAATGCAGCGAGGTCGTCCAAGCTTCGGTCTTCTGCCACTTCTTGTATGCTTCCTTCTTCTGCTTCACGACTCGCTGGACCTCCTCGTTCCAGAACCACGCTGCCTTGTCTCCTCTGAATCCACCTCGCGTCTCGCCCAGTACCTCCTTGGCACATCGCAGGATGGTCTCAGCCGCGTTGCTCCAAGTCCGCTGTACTGGCCCGTTAGGATCTGGGAGACCAACTTCCATTATCTTCGTTTGAGGTCATCCTTCTCCGCTTGGTGCAGCTTCCACCACCGGATTCTCCTCTCGGTTCTACCCTTGTCTTCTTGGGAGGTCATAGCAATGTCAGAGGAAGGGGGAGGCTGTGTTGCGATGGCCAATCTTTCATGGAGTACCTTGATGTTCTTGACAGTTCTGTTCTGGGGGATGATCGTTTTACGAGCACATGGTCGACTTTCCGTCTGTCGCCCTCCACTGCTGTAGGTTACCTTCTGAGTCTCCCTTTTCGCGAAGAACGTGCTGCAGATTGCCAGATCGTGGGCCGTAGCCAGGTCCAGGACCCTCTCTCCCTCGGCGTTCCTCACTCCTATCCCTCTACTCTCCGTGCACCCTTTCCAGGCCTCTTCTGTCACTGCCGACGTGGCCATTCACCTGCTACGGTGAGGTAATCACCTTTCCGGAATCGATCTGATGGCATCGTCAAGGCTCAGATAGAACTCGTCCTTCTCACTTTCGGGGCATCCGGCTTGCGGTGCGTACACGGAGAGTATGGTCCAGTACCCCTCCTTCGTGTCTATCCTCACAGCCATGATCCGATCGCTGATCCTGTTCACAGCGGAGACATAGTCCTTGAGCGACTCCGCTACCGCTATGGCCACGCCGTTCCGCTTGGTGTCTTCCTCCATTGTAGTAGATTTGACACCTTCCCCTAGCCTTAGCTCCTTTCCATCGCGTCTCCTGAAGGCATAGGACTTGGATATTCCTGCGCGTCATCAGATCAGCAACCTCTCGGGACTTCCCAGTTAGCGATCCTACGTTCAGAGTCCCTATTCGAACTAGCTTCTTTGGCCGAGGCCGTTCACTCCTCGGTAGCCCTCGCATACTGACCACAGAACTCGGGCGGGGGTTCTGCGCGCCACTTCCGGGTGACGTCCTAGCTTACCACTGACACTTACACGACTTTCAATCATCGTAGTGTGACAGAGGCGTTCATCAGCAGGCCCTGACGCTATTACTGGAAACATTTTTGCAATTTCTGCAGGACAGAGTTACCGAATCCGCGGCTTTCACGAATGCAGGCATGAGTCTATACTAATAACCACTCGGCTATACCACCTGCTTCAAATTACAGAACAAATTGTGAAAATTTTTTCCCTGCTCGAAGCAGGAAATTTGAGCTATTTGTTGTGAAGGGCTGTTATTTGGAAATTTAAAATGCTAAATGATTGTGATGCTCATGTGATGCACAAACGGAAACGTTCGTTGGATACTAAACCTGTGGTTTGTGCAGGGCTATTTACCAGCACCCTCAGAATTATAGGGACTGAGTGAACCATCACAGGTATGTGGGTACACCAGCTGATTAGTGACAGAAATATGCTACATTAGCAATTAAGTAAAAAAAAAATTTGATCCAACTACCTTTTTGAGCTCCAATTTTGCAACCACGACTTCCAACTCTTTCACTCTCTGTTGTCGCTTCATCAATTCAGAGTAACGGGCACGTCTAAGTCGATCAGCTTTCTAGAACCAAACACAGTACATCCAGAATAAGTGAAGATAATAGCACGAAACATCCCACATTCAAGGACCCTGCAATTCAATAAAATATTTGAGCTGGCACGATTCTGTTCCATGTTCTCACACATTGCGATGCCAGAAAGCACAAACCTTTACGTCGTCTTTACTTTGCGCGCCGATGACATTCTTTTTTGCGAGATCGTCCTTCCGTAAACGGTTGTATTTTCTCGAGATCACAGACTCGTCAGTACCAAAGTATTCAATAGGATCGAAAGATTTAGCTAAATGAAATAGCATGACAGATAAAACGAACAGCACGCACAAAATCTGCTACCCACAGAATTGAGAAGGGTTAGTCATAAAATACAAATACTCATTAGCTGAAATATAGGTCGAATCTCACCTTCCTCATCATCGTCGACAAAGATTGTGTGCTTACTCGCTCCAAGTCCACAACTTGGATCAGCGAAGTGAAGCTCTGATTTCAACTCATCTATCTTCTGAAAAATTCTTCCTTATATCCGATTAATCAATAGCACCATTTCATGAAATCACCTTGTTTTCCGCATAGAGTTTGTATTTCCACGTATTCCAGATCTTTCACATCGTTCAACTTTTTCTGCACCTCAGAATCCTCCTCCTGTTTCTTTGTCTTCTTATCGAAATGTCGACCGTCGAAGCTTAATCACATTGGGCTACATTTTGTCAGAATTTTTTTTGGTCACGAAATTGTTGCGTGTCAAACTTAAGCAGGACAAGCCATTTAGGTCAATTAAAGAGGCAATGAGTTAATTAACAAGAACATTAAAGTATAAGATGAGATTCCTGAATAATGTCGCTCACAGGAACTTCGAACATGAGGCGTTGTCGACGCCATAAGCAGTTCCCTGACTGCTTTATATTAGTCGCGCATAATTTTTTGAGAACATTTGGTGTTTCGACTTCAATTACTTATCTTATTTCTCTGATGTATTATTCAGCACAGTATACATCTCACCATTATTACCAACATATCATCAATGCGAGGGTAGGTGTTCAACGTCTCTCTTGTAGAATTCCATAGAGTTCTGATCGAAGAAAAATTGGATGTCGATTTTGACATTTACCGGTGATTCAAGTGAGATTTCTTTTCCAGAAAGGATTCAGATTAGAGCGGAAAGTCGTTCGTTGGCGCAAGGATTAGTGCTACAAGGCGGAGCTAAAAGAACTGACCGCCCGAGAGTCTCCAATTTTTTATGGAATTTTCTTAGCAAGGTGGACTCGAACGACCTCAGAAAAAATAGATTTTGTCTTACTTTGCTTTCAAGTTGAAGGCGTTGCCATCAAGCTGTCGACGATTATCTTCATCACTGACAGTGGTCATTAGTTGTGCCGGTTCCCAGCACACCAGTTCCCTCTCGTTTCCGCCAACAGCTCCACGAAATCAGAAATCAGAGGTGTTAGGCTTTGCTGCCAGGTAACTCTCGAACCTGCTTGACACAGCAGCCTGCTCAGCTGTGTGATCTACTTGTACACTGCATCCAGTCGCACACCCTCACCGACTGAATCATCTGAATGGATGTTCGCAAGAACTTAGGAACGAAGAGAACATATATGTCAGATCGGGTCTTAACGACTTACTTCGTGCCTCAATGCGCATGAGAGACAATAATTCCACATATATCAAAAACCTACGCCGACATTATCAAGATGTTATCGAAATATCTCAGTACGCTCACACTTTGTAACACTAAAAGCGCTCTAACAAACAGTGCCCACTTTGTTCAGATTCCTTTTCAATGGCGCCGGATAGGGCATCGAGATTGTCAGTCACGGGGTGGTTGGAGTGTGGAACATCTTCGAATAAAAGGAGGGAACCCTGAGTAGAGGTAACCACCAGAGCACCGTGGATTGAGGAAGCGTGCCCTCAGCTATCCTTGGGTAATCCTCTTTATAGCCCTGCTCGTGGAAGATTCTAATCTGAAGTCATGAAGAAAGAGGCTCAGAAGTAGGTCTCAAAGAAATTGAAGTCTAGCTAAAGAAAGTAACATGCAAACGAGGTGGCTAGCCTGTCGGATAGGCGAGCTTGTGTGCTAGGTTGCTGGACATCTTGGAAAGCTTCAATACTTATCAAAAAAATTTTTACACCAATACATGTAAAATTTCTCAACCACCATTACTGGACCGGACCCATAATAGATCTCAACTGCTCTATCCTAATCCTACCGATAATGGCCGCGCTAATACAAGCACAGTTCGATTTGAAGAGAAAAACTTGATGGTTTCCCCTACGTTTCGCTGGACAGGTTCAACAAGATTCAGTTCCAACGATGCAATTATTGAGTCAAGGCGATGTATTCTTGCGGCTTGAGCTATAATAAGGAAGGTAGAATACATCTTCCAAACAACAAATTGTGATTGATGAGCTCTCAGGCACTGGTAAATTTATCGACCCGTACTTCCAAAGTATGCCTGTTGATTGTTACATGAAATTCTCGTTCACTTCACCGGTCCGAGGCCAGCCTTGTATTTTCGAGCACCAATGCCGCCCACACTGCAACTCGACAGAACGCCCCTTCGCAACTGCTTTACTTTCCTCCCCGAATTAGGCTTAGATTCCGAAGAGAGCCCGTAGCAGGAAAGCAAGTACCCGTGAGTCTCTGCGCGAGTAGAGCCCTTTCTTACGATCGGTACAAGATCTGATTCTCCAAATTCAGAAAGACCGAATACTTTCTCAAAAATACACCGAGGTCCGGTTGCCCAATAGTGTTGGATGTGGAGCTGTTGCGTTCACCACGGAACAGCAGTGAAACACCCGCACCAGAAACCTAGGCCATGTCCAGCTAACAATCGCACTAGTCCAGAGACATTCGGAAAGGCTACGAAACTTGGTCGCCGGATCCCTCATCGGTCTAGCAACGCACTTCCCATTCACAAAAAAAAACAGAATTATTGACATAATGATAACTGTAGATGAGAACTGGTCCCTCTGCAAAAATGCTGTGGTTCCGGCTTTTGTTCAACAAGAGAAAAGCCGAGTCTACCTGTGTGCTCCATTTCAAGTTAAGAATGCTCTATTTCGGTGTCCCAAAACTGTTTAGAGCAACAGAAGCTTATGCCGCAGCCTCCATGCAGTTTGGATATTGTATCTACCGAGTATTGGCTGTTCCGTCACCTCAGCGCTTACTAGCCGGAAAGAAAGTTCAAGAACGAGAACGAAGTCAGACGGCAGTCGGTGAATTGTTGAAGTGCCAGCCTTCCTCCCTGTGGGAGTCAGCTACCCGAACACTGGCGACAAGTGGTGGGCCAGTGAAGGTGCCCACCTACTATTTTCAGCTTGGCTCGTTTCTGCTTTACAAAATGTGGGCTAGAAACTTCTCCACCAACCTAATAAAAAAGGAATAGAG